CACGGGCTTACTTACCACCAAACTCATCGAGTTGTGTACATCACAGTGTAAGCCTTTTTCTATGCCAATCCTACCTTAACGAAGCGGTTTATAAAAAGAAAAAGACAGGAAACTGAAGCTGAGCAGTTTTGGGGGAGTGACTCAAGGTCACCTGGCAAGAGCTGAGCTCTGGATGCCCAGCCTGGCTCTGTGTTTCACCACTCAGTGCCCAGGGTGTGGTCTGACACCTCTGAATTACAGAGGAGAGGGGTTAATTCCTTCCTTCCTTCCTTCCTTCCTTCCTTCCTTCCTTCCTTCCTTCCTTCCTTCCTTCCTTCCTTCCTTCCACAGAAGTGTCTCAGCACCTCCCCTTGACTCCATGAGCAGCACAGGTGAGGGTCCTTGTGTTGTGAGCATGTATCCTAGTTGGGGAGAGAGATCGGAACAAGAGGCCCACTGCAAATGCATATATAATTGCACTTATATGACAGATGAGAGAAATGATGAGGAGGCCATTGTACAGAATCACAGTGGAGAGGGAGGGCCAGGCATGGGCAGGGTGTCACTAAGAAGTAACTTCAGCAGAGGCCTGAGGTCTGTGGAAAGCTGGCCCTGTGAGCAAGGCAGAGAGAAGTGTTCATCAGAGAGCAGAAGTGCAGGGGCCCAGGGCTGGGATGGGGCTTGCTGTGTTTGAGGAATTGAAAAAAGAAGTGTGCCCAGAGGACACACACGACTGAGGGCAGAGCAGGTCAAGTTGAGGCTGGTGAGAGCTGGGCAGAGCCTGACTGCAGGGGGCCTCGTGGGCTATCGCACAGATCAGAGTTAAATTTTACACAGCCGGCAACACTCTTAGGCAGGGGAGTGCTATGACCTTGTTTGTGACTGAAGGAGATTTGGATGCTTTGTAGAAGGGCTCCAGGGGACAGGAGAAGTGGGGTGGGCCAGGTGAAAACTGGGAGGGGCTTCCATTAAGACGGTGGCAGGGAAAATGGGGAGAAGCAGGAAGATTTAAGGCACATTTTGGAGCTAGAAACTGACAAGCCTGATGACCAGGGATGGGGAGGGAGGTTAGGAAAGTTCTCCAGGCCCCTGCTCTCTGGAAGCTCTGGCCCTGGGTCTTTAGGACCCAAGGGAAGTCAGGAGTCTGTCTGTCCCTCTCTGCCTGGGCTCCAAGGTACATTTCCTCTGTAATTAGCAGATCGCAGACAGGCCCTTCTCAGCCACACACCGCCCTCAGCTAAGTCCCAAACTGACCTGGGTGGGACTTTGTTGCCTAACATTTGGAATAAATGCCAGCAGGTGTGGGGGCCATGGATGTTGGGGGATCAGCTGGAGAACTGCCCAGGGTCTGGCCACCTACAGCTGCCTGGAGTCACCGGCCTGGGAGGCCATATGAGCTCAATGACTCTACTGTCTTCCCTCTGACAGGTGGGGGTGTTTTCGCAGGAACATGGCATCAGGCACCCAGGAGAGTCAGCCAGGCCAGGCTCTGCTGCCACTCTGGGTGCTGGTCTCCCGAGTACCAGGCTTATAGGGCTGGCACGAAACTGTCAGAGCTGTGTATTTCCAGAGGCCCAGAAGTGTGATGGCAAAGCCTGGGCTTTGAAACTAGAAAATCTGAAATGAGTACCCTGAGGCCTCCACATTCTGGGGAAGGGATCTCTCTGACCCTCTGTTTGCTCTTCTGTACAATGATGCTAATGATACCAGCCCCATGTTGCTGCGGAGGACTGTAAATGAGCTAATACAGGTGACCAGCTTGGGAGAGACCCAGGGGTACGCTCCAGGAGCTATGGGGGGCGGGGGAGATGCGCCATCCCTCGGGGCCATGGAGGGAGCCAAGGGGCAGTGTGGACACCAGTCAGAGGAACCTGAATTTTATCCCAGTTTCATCCCTCACTGGCTGGGACAAGCAATTCCATTTTGCGGAGCCTTAGTTCATTCACCTGTAAAGCGAGGTTAACAATGCTTACTTTGGTGAAGATTAAATATAGCAATATTTGTAGTGTCTTAATAGGTTCTTAACAAATAGAGGCTTTAATAAAAGAGAGTGGGCCCAAATGGAGCAAGATTTCTGGGTCCCAAACCTGAGCTAGGGAGCCTGAGTGAAGGGGGGGCCTTCTCCAAGGAGACCCTGATCCTCAGGGAAACCCCCATGGTTGCTTGTAGAAGTGGCTTTGGCTCAGCAGATCTCTGGTGTTTGGGGGGTGGGGACAGTGGTCTGTCACTGGCTACAACAGTGACAGACCTCCCGTTGTTTAGGAACAAACTGAGGCCCAGAGAGGGGAAGAGGGGCCTGGGCCAAGGTCCCCGGACAGGAGGATGGGTGGACAAGAGCCAGTCCTGCTCCCTGGTCAGCAGCCTCTGGGCTCCTTCCAAGCAGGAAACTCCCTCTGCATCTGTAGCGGGGGTGGGAGCGCTGAGCTCAATTGTTCCTTCAGCAGCACCGTGGGTGCTACTCACACTTGGCAGGAGGCACTGCATTGTGATGTGAAACAGACTAGTTTAAATGACAAGGAGATTAAACCACCCACGTATCCTTGAAAGGCCTCCTTGAAGGCAACTCTTGGGAACAGATAGGGAGTGTCAGCATGGGAAGGACAGACCGTGTTTCTTAACTATCTGCAGATCAGGGGCTATCTTTGCCTAGAAAGCCTGGAATATGAAATCTAGAGGCTGTGCTGCAGAAATGGAGGAGCGGGGGTCTGGGAAAGCCAAATGGTGAGGTGATTTAGAGTGTGGGCTTTAAAAGCCAGAACTGGGTCGGAGCCCAAGCTTTGCCACTATTAGCAAGTGACTTGATCTCTCTGAGCCTCAGGTTACCCATCTGTAAATGGGGCTAACAGTAGAACCTAGCTCCATGGGTGGGTGTGAGGCCCAAGGAGTTGACACATGTGAGGACAGAGCCTGGGCCGTGCGCCTGGGCCTCCCATGCTGCGGTGATAGCTAAGGCTGCTGCCGTTGGTTCTGGGCAGTCCAGGCTCTGCAGACAGAACATTCTAAATGGGCCTCCTTTGTGAGCTCAGGTGCAGTTTGGAGGCCAGGGCCAGTGAGTGGGACCAGTTTGAGTCACTCAGTTTGGCTCAAAGACAGGGCTGCAGCCGAATTCTGCCTGGCTCCCAGTCTCGTTGGTATTTCTATGCCCCCACCACCCCCCTACTCCCCTTTGCCTCCCTCCCCTCCCCTTGAAGTGAATTTCCTTCAGCTGGTTCACACACACCCCAAACCTCACTTGCAGGGGCCGCTCTGCAAGCAAAGTCCAATGCAGCTGTTTGGGGCCCTTTGCTTTTGCATGGGTCACATGACTGGCAGTGCTCCCTGGGGCCGGGGGCCTGATGTCCTGCCCTTGCTGGGGCAGGGGGCGTGTACCAGCTGAAGGAAATTCATCAATCCGGAGCTTTTGCCAGGAGTCAATCAGACCAACAGCAACGTGGGAATCATTTGCTTGACTGCGGCCAGGCTCACAGGAGTGAGCGTGTGAGAGTGGGTACCCCACGGCATGGCCAAGGAAATGGAGGTCTCAGGTGGGGCTCTGGCCAGACACTGCCACACCCGCAGCTCACACTCCAGAGCACCAGGTCTGAGCCAGGCACTTCGCATATGACGACTCAATAAAGCCCCAGAGACCCCCAGAGCAGGTATTGTCGTTACCTCCGATGTACAGGTGGTGGGTGGTGGCTGGGCTGTAACTGACTTGCCCCAAATCACAAGAGGCAGCGGGGCTGAGATTTGAACCTGAGTGGTCGGGCTGCAAACTCCCGGATGTTCATAAGAGGTAGGAGGACGACTTTGGGAGGCCCTGGCTCAGGAAGGGTTTCTGGTTGGAGAGGAAGGGTCTGGGTACATGGACATGGGGGAGGGAGAGGAGGAGGGACTGAAGGCAGGGACAAGGCCTGGATGAGGGAAGACCCCTCCCAGGGTCCATGTGAGAGGCCACAGGGAGACCAAGTGTGAGGCCTCCTCACGTGGGGGACGGGAAGGGAAGGTGTCTTAGCTCGTGCTGTGTAACTAGTGCGCGGCCTGGGCTCAAACAGCAGACGTGGACATCTCAGCTCTGCAGCCTAGAAGCCCAAGATCGAGGCGTCTGCAGGCTGGTTCCCCCGAAGCCTCTCTCGGCTGTAGATGGTCATCTCCTTCTGTGTCCTGGTGTGGTCTTCACTCTGTGTGCCTATGTCCTAATCTCCCCTTATGAGAACACCTGTCAGCTGGGATATGAGTTCACCCATATGACCTCACTTGAACTTAATCACCTCTTTTAAGACCCTAACTGTAAACACAGTCACATTCTGAGGTACTGGGGTGAGGGCTTCAACATTTAAATTTGGGGGACACAGTTCAGCCCATCACAGAAGAGGAAGGGAGGCCAAGAGCTCGAGTTAAGAGGGCACGATTTCCTTAAGAGGGGAAGGTACCTCTGATGAGGGCCCAGGGGCGCCTTGCAGGGTGCAGAGCAGCCCCTGGGAGGAGAAGGGCACTGATTGGCATCCGTGTGCACACTGATGAATCTCAGGAGCCTGGCACCCTGCCTACCACACGGGAGATGCTCACTAAATATTTGCAGAACGAACAAGGACAAGCCCAGAAGTGCTGCAGGCGCCCTGGGGAGGTAGCTGGTCTGAGAAGAGGCCTTGCAAACGCTGTCCCCAAGGACCGACGTGAGGGTTAGAGGTGACCCGGGGAAGCAGGCTGCTAGTTCCCCAGGAACCCAGAGATGCTGACCAGGCAGAACCAGGGAGACGTCTCCGCCCCCATCCCGCCTCCCTGTGGCACACTGTGTACCTTGATGGGACATGCTTGCCCTGCTGGCCGGCCCCCCTCGGTCCACAGCCCTCGGCCTCCTTCCTCTCCCTGCCCTTAGAGGTGCATCCTTTCTCTTTGATGCTGCTCCTTGGGTGGTGACCGTCCTCTGGGACGTCGGTCTTGCACACGTCGGGCCCAATCTTTTCTCTGAGAAGCCCCGCTGGCTGCACGGCCTCCTGAGCATCTCCTCGCTCTCCCTTCCAGAACCGGAGGCAGCCGCCATGCAGCTCTGCCTCCTCCTCTGCCTTTTGCTGCTCAGCCCGCAGGGCTTGGGCCACCACCACCACTCCTGGAGGGCAAAGAAGAGGGCCAGAGAGCTGCCTGTCGTCCCCACGGCGGCCCCTGATAACGGGAACTTCACCTTCGACCTCTTCAGGGCCTTGGTGGCCGCCAGCCCCAACCAGAACGTCTTCTTCTCCCCTCTGAGCGTCTCCATGCCCCTGGCCATGATCTCCCTGGGGGCTCGGTCCACCACGAGGGCGCAGATCCTGGGCGCCTTGGGCGTCGGCCTGCAGGGGGGCGCGGAGGAAGAGGAGCTCCACAGAGGCTTCCAGCGGCTGCTGCAGGGGCTCAGCCCGCCCCGGGAGGACCCCCAGCTGAGCCTCGGCAACGCCCTGTTCCTCAAGCCCACGGTGCACGTCCAGGACACCTTCCTGAGAGCCATGAGGACGCTGTACCTGGCAGACACTTTCCCCACCAACTTTGAGGACCCTGAAAGGGCCCAGAAGCAGATCAACGATTATGTGGCAAAGCAAACTAAAGGCAAGATTGTGGACCTGGTTAAGGACTTCGACAGCTCCGAGATCATGGTTATGGTGAATTACATCTACTTTAAAGGTAAGACCTTGGGTTCAAACCTGAACTTTTTCTTTTCAACTAATTTTGTTAAAAGAATATTCAAGTCCCGCCCACGCAGAGGAGCGGGAGTAGATTTAGTCTCTTCTGGTGCCTGTTGCTAGAGTGAGGCCGACAAGCAGCCCTGGGTGAGAGGGTGCCTTCTCGCTGTGTAAGGGGGCGCTCAGAACCCCAGTGCAGTTTCTTCTATTGGGGAAAAGCTGCTTCCTGTCTTTGGGCCCCTGGGGACACCTGAAGTCACACCTTCCACACGGGTGCTGAAGTATGACTTGGTCACGGCCAATGTGCCAGAGAAACTGATACATGGCCACTCAGGGCGGAACTCGGGCCTTAGAAGGAACTTCGGGGACATTCCCCAGGCCACTCCCTCTCCCCCCAGATCCTGACCATCCTAGGGGCTATTTCCTTTGCCAAGAAATCCCGGGTCAAGAGGCTGTTCCCCTGAAAAGACTTCTCTCTTCTCTGTAAGAGCTAATCCCCTGCTTTAGCTCCCAGACATCTCTTATAAGTATCCCTACTCATCTCAGCTCTCATTTCCACTCTTAAAACAGCGATTTCCATCCGGTGTGCCGCAGGGATTTTTAAAACATGCGATACCTAACTACTTAGGGGCATAGACCTCTTTTCCATTAGATTGTCGCATTTAAAAATGACAACAGCCAACACAATAGCTGTCCAATGTGAATGAATCAATATTATACTTTTTTTCTTTGTCAGATCAGCAAAAAATGTATTTTTTGGTGTGCTGCAGAATTTTAGTAATTAGTTTATGTGCCGTGAGACGGAAAAGGCTGGAAATCACTGTTCTAGGGACTGAACCCCTCAGTGCTCTGTATGGGGCCTGGCTGAGGCTGGGGAAATAGATGAAGAGGGGAGGGGGGGAGCAGGAGGGGAAGGGAGGGNGGAAGGGAGGGGAGAAGGGAAGGTAGAGAAAGAGATGGACAAAGATAGTTAAATGTTAACCACCTGCCCCCTTCCTATGGCCACAGAGAGTGAGTCTTAAGCTTGGCTTCTAAGATTTCTTGTCCTCAGCCCAGGGCTGTGCCCATTACAACAGGCTGCAGAGGACAACTGTGAAATAAGCTAAGTGGGGTATTGGGGTGGGGTCTACATTTGATAATCATTAAGATGAAAATAATTATTTGTGTCACTCTGGTAAAAAAATCCCATAAAAAGCAGACAGCGCAGGAAGCATAAATGAAGACTTCCCAGTAGGAAAAATCATTTATTTCCAGGAATCTTACAAACCTTTTTCCCAAACTTAGATCAAAATATCTGGAAAAGCATCAACACTAGAAGGACTCACCCAGATAGAGTNCTCCCAAACTTAGATCAAAATATCGGGAAAAGCATCAACACTAGAAGGACTCACCCAGATAGAGTGTAGCTTCACCATCCATCCATATCTTTTACCCTCTCCACTTGGATGTTTGACCTTCAGTTGCATCAGAGAATCCAACAAACATTAGGGGTTAGGGCCTCTGAAGCCATGAAAACCAACCTCCTTGTTTGGCAAATGTTGCAAAAGCCCCACAAAAAGTTCAGACAGGTGGCCCCCAAAATTATATAGGAGTCCAAGGGGTCCAACAGTCACTGCTACCGACGAGATCGTCCTAAAGAGGATCATCTCTGTTGAATAGGTTCATCGTCTCTGCGCTCTTCCTCTGCAGCTGAGAATTTCCCATTTCCTGTCCACGTTTATCTTTAGCTAAGTGGGAGACACTCTTCGACCCCAAAAGCACCCACAAGCAGGACTTCCACGTGAACTCGGAGACGGTGGTGCAGGTGCCCATGATGAAACGCGAGGATGACTATTACTACCTCCTGGACCGGAACCTCTACTGCAGGGTCGTGGGGCTCCCCTACCAGGGAAATGCCACGGCTCTCTTCATTCTCCCCAGCGAGGGCAGGATGGGCAAGGTGGAAGCTGAACTGAGCCAGGAGACGCTGAGGAAGTGGCTCAAGAAGTTCACCAAGAGGTATTCTTCAGACTACATGGGGGCCAGCCTAACCTTACCCCCCCCAGGGAGACACATGTCCCCTGGAGCCACACAGCGGTGGTGGGAAGGACACACCCAGCCCAGGAACTGCCTCCAAGCCCAGAGGCATCAGGTGAAGCCCCGGCCCCAGGGCCTGGCCCAGCTGCAGGAAGTGGGGCTGGAAGCCCACTTTCCTGGTGGTAGGATCAGAGGGGCAGTGACCTCTGGGGAGGTCCAGGTCCAAGTCCAGAGTGAGACAGACTCTACTCTAGGCAAGGGGCTGAAGGATCATTATGAAGCTGAGGGGAAGTGGCAGGGATATGAGCTGAGGACCTGGTCCTCTAGAAGAGCCTAAGAAAGGTCCTCTTCTCTTTCCAGAAAGCTCCAGCTTTACCTTCCCAAGTTCTCCATTGAGGGCTCCTATCACCTGGAGAAAGTTCTCCCCAAGTTGGGGATCAGAGACATCTTCACCTCCCATGCTGACCTGACTGGATTCACCAACCACTCTAACATCCAGGTGTCTGAGGTGAGCCCAGAAGCTCCTGAGCATCTGCTTTCAGAGACAGCTATTCTATTCCATTCCACATTCCATATTTCACATTCCATATTCCATATTCCATATTCTTTCTCTTTCCTTTTTTTCTTTAATAAGCAAAGGTTTCGCTTTCTGTCTTATATCCTTTGTACAATGAGCAGCCATCTCCGGCACTGCCTTGGGGGAAGGAGCCCTCTATTAAGCCATCAAAACTAAAAATCAGGTGGCAACTCCTTCACTCATTAGCAGCGCGACCTCCAACAATGATCTGACCTCTCTGAGCCTCCTTTCCCTCTATAAAATCAGAGCCCCACCCCCACTGTGAGATGCCTTGAGAATCCAATGAAAGACACGAGTGTACATGTGCCTGGGCAGGACAGCTGTGCAGTCACATCATTTCACACCTGCTTCGAGGCTCAGCTGCAGAGACTTGGACAGAGATGCCACAGGCGGAAGCTTGGCCATTTCCTGCAATGGGCTCTCCCAGCCCCTGGTGAGTTGGTGGCATCTGGTGTCTCCCCTGCAGATGGTGCACAAAGCCATGGTGGAGGTGGACGAGTCGGGGACCAAGGCAGCTGCCGCCACAGGGATGGTGTTTGCATTCAGGTCCGCCCGGATGGGCTCTCCAAGGATAGTGTTCGACAGGCCCTTTCTGATGGCTATTGTGGAGAACAACAAGAACATTCTCTTCCTGGGCAAAGTGACCCGCCCCTCAGGCGGGGATTTCTCCTGAGAGGCCCCAGGCGTCCCTAGTAGAAAATGGGGGTGCCCAGTGGCCATCGATCTGCTGAGAGCTAGTGCCTTGCACAGGTTTAGTTGACTAATGAGACTTTCGCAAATAATAATAGTAACTGATACACTGAGGATTGCTTCTTTCCCACAATGGCAAGACTCAGGTGCCTTGAAGAACCCTGGAGAATATTTGGTCTTGCCCTCACCTTTCATCAGTGGAGATGAGTACTGAGGCCCAGAGAGTTTGATTGACTTGCCCAAGGTCACATAGCATGTTAGTGGTGGAGAGAAGCCCAGAACCCAGGCCCCTGAATCCCAGCCAGTGCCACAAAGCATTATGGGAAGTTGTTCCCGTCGACATTTGCACCAGGAGGTGCATTTCCCAGCCTAGTGCCGACTCATCAGCAATACTAGCTGTCAATTCATTGCGGTTTAGAAAGAACACTGGAATGGGACTCTGCAGTGGGGTTTCTTAACCAGCTGTGTGACACTGGGGCAATATTGTCCCTCTCTGAACTTGGTTTCTCCATGTATACAGTGAAGGATCAGGTCAAGGATTGAAGGATCCTTGAAATCATATAAAAAGGCTAGGTGTTACCTGCCAGCCACAGCTGATATCATTACATTCAAGTGTCACTCATCCTTCATAAAAGCAAGTGGGTGGCAGGGTGGAAATGGCCCATCCCAGGCCCGTACCATCCTGTGGGTGAAGTTACAGTCTCACGGGCTGGGATGGCGGTGGGAGAATGAGGCCTGTTGCAAACAGTAGCTTATCATTTGAAGATACTGCTGACTAGGTGTGAATTTTAGTGTCAGCTATAACAATAAAGCATTTTGCAAACACTGGTGTCACTGTCCTTATGGAAGTAGCTCTGGGAATGGTGACATTAATAGCTTATCATGTTCCGGGCTAGGTACGAGGCACTTCACCTGGGTGGTTGCAGTGCCCTTTACAATGTGCCCTATGAAGCAGGTGCTGTTATCCCCACTTTACAGATGGGGAAGGCGAGGCTTGCAGAGCGGATGGCTTACCTAGTCACATAGCTCCTAAGGGGTGGAGGCAGGATTTGACCTGAACTGTGGCCCCAGACCCACCCAGTTAGCCCTGTGCTCTGCTGCAGGGTGGACGTGACCAGGAAACAGAAGCCCGAGTCAGGCGCATGTTGGCCATAAGCTCCCTCGTGGTCCAGATAGGCTTGTTCTCCTTTACAAAACCCACCCCATTTCCTTGTCCATCCAATGAAGGGGATCAGACACGTTAAAGAGTCAAGTGAGTCCTTCACTCAGTCTCAAGCTGTCCCCTAAACCAGCTGCCCCCACCTCGGACCCTCTGAATGTCTGCCCACCTCACTTTGCATGCATGTCCCTGGCTGGCTCTCCATGAGGTTGCTGCCGCCACTCTGACCCTGGAGTCTGGACTGTATCACAGAAGGGTGCCCCTTAGGACCGACAAGATTGGAACCCCAAGCTTTGACGGTTCCTGAAAGCACTAAGCCCCTACTGTGTGCCAGCCAGAGGGACACTTTGCATCTGTGATCTATCTCATTAATCCCTGAATAACCCTGCAGGGCATAGCAGTTGTACCCATTTTACAGAGGGGCACTGAAGTGCCCGCCCAGAGCCCTCCAGCTGATGACAATGAGAGGCCCTGGCTCCGGGACCCAGCTGGCATCTGCTGGCTGGTGGCAGTGCTGATGTCTGCATCCCAACCCAGACAGTTTGTCTGCACTTGGGATTTAAGCTCAGGATAGCTTTTCAGGATTGGGCCTCCTCGTGGGGTCAGACCCGCTCCTGTGTGCCTTTCCCTTGTGAAATGCCTCATCTCTTTTGGCAAATATCTCTCTGATTGTTTACCCAGCCTGTCCAAGGTCAGGGGGAGGCTCTGCCTGTGTGACATGTGTAAGGCCAAGGTCCAATGCTATCTAAAGTTTACTGGACAAATGATCACAAAGCACCTGTTGTGTGTGAGATCGGGATGGGCTCTGAGTGCCGCCTCGGGGGCCTACGCTGCGTGTCATGCCCTGAAGCACCCTGCTGGGTGTCCTGGCGGGTCACATAACTCAATTGTCACATGATCCTGGGGTGAACACAATGGTATAGCTGCTCAGAGAGAAAGAGAGAGGGAATGAACTTCTGGGGGTCAGGAAAGCTTTCTCAGAGGTGGCATTGTCGAATAGGACTTCAACAGACAGCAATTTGGGACTTTAACGCAGAGGGAACAGTGGCTCGAGAAGAGCCTGACGCTGAGTGATCTGCAGTGTGTACGAGAAACCAGACACCTTGGTCGGGATCAGTGTGAGGGAAGGAGGGGAGGTGCTTGCAGCCCAGGGACAGGGATGCTGAGCACAGGATGGTGGTTTGTCTGTTCTCTCCCATCCTGATTTCAGAATAGTTTGGCTATCATGCCACACCCTGGCCTCCCCTGGACCCCTTCTTGTCCCTCAATGTCCCATGTGCACATCAGTAAACATCACCACGCAACCTCTAGGGGGTGCTCACATCCATCCACTCCTGCTCCAACACCTCCCTGGCCGCCCCTCTGATTGATCCCATCACTCTATCCAGTGAAAAGGTACCAGGTCTGTCCCTCCATGACTGTCCCTCCCAGGACCCTCTTTCTTAGTCACTAGTATTAGTTTGCTAGGGCTGTCATAACAAAGTACCTGAGACCAGGCAGCCTAACAACAGAAATGTATCCCCACGGTCCTGGAGGCTGGAAGTCCAGATCAAGATGCCGGCAGGGCTGGTGCCTTCTGAGGTCTCCCTCCTTGGCTTGCAAATGGCTGTTTCCTCTCTGTGTCCTCATGTGGTCCTTTGTCTAAGAGTCTGCATCAGATTCTCCTCATCTCCAGTCTCCACGGGTCATAGTGGATTAGGACCCACCCACTGAGCTCACTCACGTCATCACCGCTTTAAGGCCCTATCTCTAAACAGTCACGTTCTGAGTTACTGGGAGTTGAGATTTCAACATATGAGTTTGGGAGGGACATGATTTAACCCGGAACAGCCACCCTGTATTGCCAAGTTCATTCTTGTTCTTAGGGAAACACCTTTATGTCCCTCTCTGATCACATAAACTCTCAGGGCCTCCTTCTGTGAGCCACTGACACCAGCACAGGGAGGAGCAGTGCCAGGGCCCCGACTCCTTCCCCTGCCTCCCCCTGCAGGGACCCAGACCAGAAATCATGACCTTGGTCTTCCTGGCAAACACTTCACGCCCCACTAAACAGCCATGCCCAGCCTATATCTACTTATCAGCTCATTCTCCAAAGGCCATTGCTGATGGGGAGCCTGCAGGGGCTCAACACGGAGCCAGCACGGGATGCACTGGTAAGCCCAGCAGACATGGGCAAGTAACCAGTGTCACAAACCAGGGCGAGGCACTTCCTTAGGACCCTGGCCAGAGCTCTTCCTCGGTGGAGCCTTCCTGACTACCCCAGACCCATCTCCAGGCTCCCACTGCCCCCCACGCCCTCCTCTGTCACCTTCCACACCGTGCAGTCACCATCCCTCGCCTGCCTGTGTCTCATATACCACAGAGTCCGTGAGAGCTCAGATCATCTCTGGACCCCAGTGCCCAGCACCAGCCTCGGCCCAAAGTGGGCTCTCCACAAAAGCTGGATGAATGAATGGAAATGCTAAGTGAGGGAAGGCTCCAGAAGATTCCAGGCCTCTACAGGTCCTCAGCCCAGTGCCTAAGATCACCCTGTTCCTGAGCAGCAGCCCCTAGTGTGCACAGCCTGAGCCTGCCCTGCAGATGGGGCTGCTGATACCATAAAGTCACCCAGGTACATGTGACCGCCAGGTTGGACTACTTCTCAGTGCGGGTATATCCTAGGAAGTGTGAGGCCTGTTGGTCACCAAATCTGGCAGCTGTCTCTGTAGGAAACGAGAGTGAGTGAGAAGCAGTCGTCCCGACGGCCAGAAGCCCACGGTCCTCGTGCAGAGAGGAGGGAAGTCAGTCACGGGGACAGCAGGCGAAGGCTGCTTGCTGCAAGGGGAGTGGGACCTGGTCCGGTCCACCAGGAGGGACCAGGGGAGGCTTCCTGCCACGTGCTGTGCATTCTGGAGTAGAGCAAAGACAATTCATCTGTGATCGCATCAAACGGAAGCCTGAGACAGAACGTTCCCGAGGCCCCTGGTTTGCGATGGGAGTTGGAATCCTCTCTTCTCCTCGCTCAAGTTGAGGGGCCCATGGACTGTGCAGAGACAACTCTGCTGGAGAGAATGCGTGCAGGGCCCTGCACGGCTGGTCCCCCGGCTGCGGAGGAGGGTGGGGCCAGGCCACCGGGGCCCTTCTGGACCAGGGAGCCTTCAAGCGGGAGAATGCCCTGAATGGCCTGTATGCTTAAAAATATTCTGGAGACTGGGGAGGAAACAGACTGGCCAGAAAGTGGGGGGTAGGGGTCAGCAGGAGGCGTGCAGACTGCTCAGCGTCACTGCCCAGGGAACAGGACTAGCAGCTGGGTCCAGAGTGTGGGCAGCAGAGATGGAGAGCAGGGAGTGGGTTCCTGGATGTGAACGAGGGTGGTCCCAACCCACACTGAATGGCAGGAGAGAGGGAGGGTGACCCCAGCCCCCTGGCCTAGCTGGGAGACGGGCAGCTTTGCTGAGACTGGGGAGCAGAGAACAGCAGGGGTTTTATTTAGGGCGTGATCAGTGGGAGAGGTCACCTAGTTGGCACTGGTGTCAAAATTCTGGTTACCACAAACCTGTGAAACATGGAAAGGGCTTCAGCACACCAGGTAAGAGGTGAGAGGTGACCGACGTGACAGAAAACGTGGCAGGCAGAGACCACCCTGCTGGGGGAGAATGGAGAGTCCCTGTGGTCTGGGAGGGTGTCTGAGGCCAGACCGGTCTGCTTGGGGGGCGGGGGAGCTAGGGGAAGTGGGAGTTAACAGCACCCAGGTTAACAAAGACCCCTACAGCCCGCAGGCACCTTCACGCCCCTGGGCCCCTAAATCAGAAACCCGCCACTGCCCCTGTGACCAATAATTGGTATCGCCGGGTTGCAAGCCCAGGTTTTCTGGACCATGTGCCAGGATCTTTCCAAAGGCTGGCAGAGCATGGGCAAAGCCTCAGGCTGGGGTCCAGAGGCCTCCACCCCCCTGCTGGGCTCCTCCTGTCTGGTGGCTGAGTCTCAAGGCTGAGAAAGGGGCAGAGGCGTCCCCAGTGGCGCTGCGCTCCCTGGAGGGCTCGAGGGTGTGGGCTGGGAGCCAGGTGCGGGGTCCCAGCTGGGCACTGACCGCTGG